TTTCAACACACACCTCGGTCATTTCGAGTACCTGGTGATGCCGTTCGGGCTAACCAACGCCCCAGCCATCTTCCAAGCGTTGGTTAACGACGTGCTCTGTGATTTCTTAGATCGTTTCGTTTTCGTCTATCTGGACAACATCCTGATTTTTTCTAGGTCTGAAACCGAACATGTTACCCATGTAAAACAGGTCCTCCAGCGGCTGCTAGAGAACAGACTTTTCGTCAAAGGGGAGAAATGTGAATTCCACGTTCAAACAGTGTCATTCCTGGGTTACATAATTGACCAGGGCAACCTCAAACCAGATCCGGCCAAGATCAAAGCGGTAGTGGAATGGCCGGAACCAACTGATCGCCGTAAGCTTCAGCAGTTCCTCGGCTTTGCGAATTTTTATCGCCGGTTCATTAGGGATTTCAGTAAAATCGCTCTGCCTTTGACCCGCTTAACCTCTCCTAAGTTCTCTTTTCAGTGGGATCAGGCGGCCCAAAAGGCCTTCACACAGCTGAAGGACCGATTCACCACCGCACCCATCCTGGCTCAGCTTGACTTGCGACTCCAATTCATTGTGGAGGTGGATGCCTCCGACTCGGGGGTCGGCGCGGTGCTCTCACAACAGCGAGAGGGTAAGCTACGGCCCTGTGCCTTCTTCTCTCGCCGCCTCTCCCCAGCTGAACGCAACTATGACGTGGGAGACCGGGAGCTCTTGGCTATAAAACTGGCCTTGGAGGAATGGCGGCACTGGTTGGAGGGCACGGCTCAGCCATTCATTGTATGGACGGACCACAAAAACCTGGCTTACCTGCAAACAGCAAAACGTCTCAACGCTCGACAGGCCAGGTGGGCTCTTTTTTTCACCCGTTTCAACTTTTCAATCTCTTACAGACCGGGCTCGTGGAATGTGAAGCCGGATGCTCTATCACGGCAGTTCTCGGTGCCTGAGGAGAGGCAGGACCCTGAGCCCATCCTGCCAGCGAGTTGTGCCATTGGTACAATAACATGGGAAATCGAGTCGGCCATTCGTGAGGCTCAGCGGGCTGAACCAGATCCAGGAGGAGGACCAGCGGGGCGGCTCTTTGTTCCATCGGCCACTCGGTCTCAGGTACTGCATTGGGCTCACACTGCCCGCTTCACATGTCACCCTGGAGTACACAGAATGATCACCTTCCTTCAGCGCTATTTCTGGTGGCCCACATTATCACGAGACGTTTGGGAGTACGTCTCTGCCTGTTCAACCTGCGCCTGCAACAAGCTGGGACATAAACCTCCGGCCGGCTTGCTGCTACCTTTACCCACACTGTCTCGGCCGTGGTCCCATATCGCGGTGGATTTTGTTACCGGCCTCCCACAGTCAGCAGGTAACACCACTACAATGACTATTGTTGACAGCTTTTCAAAGGCTGCGCATTTTGTTGCACTCCCCAAGCTCCCGACGGCCCTGGAGACGGCTCGGCATCTCATGCATCATGTGTTCCGCCTCCATGGCATCCCGGAGGACGTGGTCTCGGATCGTGGGCCGCAATTCACCTCTCGTGTGTGGAAGGAGTTCTGCTCGGCGCTAGGAGCCAAGGTTACCACCCACAGAGCAACGGACAAACCTGCTTTGATAAACCCTGTTTCTGTTCGCCTTAAGTTGCCGCGCAACATGAAGATACACAATGTCTTCCATGTGTCTCAGATTAAGCCGTGTCTCTCCAGTCCATTGTGCCCTCCTTCCAGGCCCCCTCCGCCCGCTCGGGTCATTGGTGGCCTCCCTGCCTACAC